AATAATATTTAGAAATATTATCTTATTCAATTTACAAATAAATATATATTTGTACTTAATAATAGTTTAGGAATTATTTATTTATAAATTTGTTAGATAGTGGAATTATATATCATAATTTTTCTAATTTTATTTCTATGTGTTCTTAAAAAATATATTTAAATCTTGTAATACATTAATGATAAAATTAGTTATAATTATATAATATATTATATCTGATATTCATCGATTCATTTTTGGACATTTCATAAGGTTGTAACTCATTCAATTCCTCATCGATGTTACACAATTTACTTCGTATACATGTTATACCACGGCGCAGAAAAGAATCAGATGGGATGATCTAGTTAATAATAAAGGAAAATAGGGGGAATGATATATATCTTTTTTACTTGAAAAGTTTTAGTTCTTTGTAATTGTTTATGTAAATAATTTTATTGTATATATAAATAAATAATACCAAGATTAACCTTGTATAAAATGAACATAAAAAGGGATACAATCAATATTATCAGAATTGTAATTGTAATAGGAACTATAATATTACTTTTAGGAGTCTGTTGTGTTTTCATATCTGTTCGTTCACAAGACTGTGTTTGCTTTAGTGGATTATATTTATTTGTAATTATTTTTATTTCATCGCAAAATCCATCATCATTATGAGGTTTACATTTATCTTTTATAAATTTATAAGTATTTTCAATGTCATATAACACTTTGAGCCTTTGTATTACATCGTCATTATAATGTGTATAATTTATTAATTTGAAATTTTCACCATAAGAATTATTATGATTTTTGATAAAAGCTTCATAAACACTTTTAACGTGTTGACTTTCACTCTTCTGTTGAAGTAAATAATATATCCAATAATAAAAGTATAAAGAAGCAGCTTCTTTATCAATATGAGAACTCATAAATTTTATATTATATAGATATGATAAAGCTGCATTGCATTGTTTTTCATTGATTCTATTATTTAGAATAATATTTCTATCAAAGAAACTTTTTGAACATTTTGATTCTGGTTCAGTATTACCTAAATAAGTACCAATAATTTTATTGCATTCAGGAAAGAAATTTACATGTTTATACTGAAAGAAAAAAACATCATAGCAGAAAAAAAATATACTATTTTGAATATTTGTTTTATATTTATGCAGAATGCACCATAAAAATGATATAATTACTAAATTTATGAATAATAACACAAATATACATTCACTTCCTCCATATTATGTTAAATTATGTAGTTTTTTACGTTGGTGTTTTCCGTTTATATTTAGGAGTACCTCTATGTTTGTGGTTTAAATAATATTAATAATTCTTTGAAAATATATAAATATTTGTATTTCATTTATAAATATGTGTATTTATTCTATTATTTTTAGGATTACAAAAATATATATGTTTTCAAGCTCAACCAATTATTTAATAATAAAATAGCATTTGATTAATTTTGTTTTTTTAATAATAAATATTTTATAATTATCAATTTTATAATACATTTATATACTCACATTAAATATTATACATTGTAAATTATATTATAAACAACAATTATTTTAATATATAATATATATATTATCATTTTTTATAAATGTTCTTTAAATTTTTTCTTTATGAAATTTACATTATTTTGTACTAAACTGTTTACTTTATTTAATTGGAAATATTGGGATTTTATAAATTCTTATCTTTAATAAATTGAATTCATTTATTATATTATCAATATACACAAAATAAATTTTAATTTTTTTTGTGCTTTTTGTATAATTGCATTTTAAATATATTAACTGGAACAATTATATATAGCATACCTGTATAAATTATGAGGATTTATTTCATTTATCTGTTTATTAATATAGATCATATATATGTTAAATGCGAAATATTTATATACATGTATATATTTATCATACATTTTTAATAAGCCTAAAATAAATTTTAAATTATTTTATTATATATTACATTTTATTTTATTCAAACATAAAAATGCTTATAATTGCAGCATGTATTTAAATATACCTAACATAAATTAATGATCTTTTTTTAGTTCTGCAACAATAAAATTTTCATTATATATATTTTATCTCAGTTTTATTGAAAATTAGAATATAATATATACAATGATGTTTATAATAGATAACATTTATATATCATATAATAAATGTACTTAATTTTTTTCATAAGTATACTTTTTTAAAGGATATATTACATTTTTTATTAAGTTGTATTTTTTTTTTTTTTTTGGTATATTTAATTTAGGTTTAGGGTTCAGCTATTATATATTAAATTTATGGTTCCTTGGTTAATTATTATGGTTTATGGTTTCTTTTTTATTTATTATATTTTATTATTATGGAACATGTTATTGAATATAGATTATAATGAATATATCTGAATGAATATTTTATATAATTTCAGCATTGCTAATCTGTATTATATTAATACTTTACTGACTAGAACAAATATTCTAGATTCATGGATAATAGTAATTTTCATTATTAGCATATGTGTCATTTTGTGATATACAATGTTTTTATATTTCATATACTTTTTATTTATAATTATATACGGGAGTAACTAGTATATTATAGGAACTAACTTAAGTGATTTTCTTTGGGGATTTTTTTTTATGCATTCATATATAATTATTCAGTTATGTATATTTATGATTACATTAATTTTGTGTCTTTTATTTTGAGTGTTATGAGTTTCCATTTTTATTATCATGATAATGGTAATTATAAATATAGAAATATTATTGTTATTATAAACAAGGGTGCTATTAATATATGAACAATAAATTAAAACACATATATGTAATTTTTTCAGTGAACCATATTTCTTCATAATATATTGTCCGAATATAGAGAACATTTTTTGTCATTATATTTTATTTTGGATTTAAGACACAAGTCATATAAGATTTCTGTTGAAGTCACTATTTTCATATGTACATTATTCGGATAGTGAGTTATTTTTTTAGATGTTTCTCTTTATTTAAAAAAAAATTAGTAAAAATATATGCTCTATATTGATTGGGCAAAATTTTTCTTTTTTTTGACCACTATTTTCTCTTCAGAAATATTTGAAATTACATATTTTTGGGACCTTTAAATTCATAGAGATCTAGGTTTAATGATGAACACATTTTAAGTTATTCTTCCTCTTCGAATTATATTTCACATATATTATATTCATAATCGAATTGATTTGTTTCAAATATTATTTGAGCAATATTTTTATCATATGATATGCTATTGCTACAGAATGCAAATATCATATTTTTTTAGAACCTTTTTTTATTATTTTGCATTATATAAAGTATCTGGTATATACATTTATTAAAACAATGTTCTAAATACTTTTTTATTTTTTACGAATTCATGTTATTATTTACATTACTTGAGAATATCATTAATGATACCTTAACAAAAACTATCCTGTTTTGTTTCAACTTATCAAATGAGTTTAAAAATTTAAATACTCTCTCCTACAATTTACAATAATAGTTAAGAAGTACAAGGATAATAGTTATATAATGCGTTTGAAATAAATTAATTTTTATTATGCATGTCTTTTCCCTATATACTTTTTAGTAAATTATTTGGCAAATATATTTTATATTCGAATACATAGCATGGAAAAAAAAAATTTGCTAAATTATCGACTTAATATTACATTATCATATTTACACGCCATAAAATAATAATGTACATAAATGTTACAAAATTAATATATTTCAACATACCAATAGTATATTTTGTATGCAAATGCATTTATATGTTGGACCATTAATATTTATATCTACAATTATTATGTATATGTAGATTAGTAAAATAATTGAAATAGTAAAGATAAAATTAATGTATTTCTAAAAGTCTACATGTATTATATTACCCTACGTAGCAATTTCCAGTAATATGGTTTTACAAATTAAATTATGCTAAAACAGAAACTTTAATATAGTGTTTTTTGTACAATACAGATAAGGAAATAAAATATTGAATAATTAAATATTTCATTTATGTTATACGAACAAATGAAATACGACATGTTCTGGAAATTCTTATTTATATATTTATGTATATAATCTTTTTATTTTATTATTAAGAAAGCTAGAATATTTAATGATATATATGTTGGAATAAAAACGCCTTTTTCTATATAACGTGATGAAATATATATATAATCATAAAATGTTATCTGTAAAATGTATTGTAGTTATAATATTTCTCAAATCCAAATTTTTATACCTGGCGTATATTTCACTATTATAATGCTTATATGATTAATATTTTACACTACTGAATATAATGACATATGATAAATAATGTCTAAGTTGTAGATCAATTTTTTTTATCATTGTAAAGATACATAAACATAAAATACCTATATAATATTTAAAATAAAATACAATCTTCTAGATCAAAAAGAACTACCTATGCTTTTGTGTATATATATATATAGTATTTAGCATTCACGCACTTGATTTCAGGGAGCAGTGTGAAGGTTTTAGTGTTCTGCTAAAACAGTTTATATTTATATTATACTTTTTATAATATATATATTGTTACATATTATATAACATTATTAATGAATATTTGCTTAATTTACGCTTATTCTATTATATAATAATATATTTTTGTGTATAATATAGATTATTAAATATAATTTACTATTAACGTATTTTCAAAATTATTTAAATATATATTTATTCCTACTTATTTTTTAGATTTATATATATATATATATTATTGATAAATTTATTTTGCTGAAAATAGAAATAATTGATGAACCTGAAAAAGTGTATTCAAAATATATATAGTAGTATTTTAGAATCTATTTTTATAAATATTATAATAGAATATGTCATTAATCATATTTATTATTTTATTGTTGTTTATAATAATATAAATGTTAAACATAAGAAAAAACTTCTTATTTCATAACTAATGAATTTAAAATATTTATATATTAAATTTTTTTAATAAATTTGTGCCTTTGAATAAACAACATCTTATTGATATACATTTTATTTTTTTGAATACAGTACTTATGAATATGTTGTTAAAGTGATACTAAAATGTTAAATCTAGTAAAACAAAGTGATATCTATAATATTACATTAATGATTATATATTGAGTTGTAGTAATATGAATGTTCATATTTAAAATATTTTCTGTAATATATATGATATTATTTTCACTCTGTGCTATCCTTATCTTAACTAAAGTACTCATTTATTTTATATTATCACAAAATATATGAACAGGTAACAAGCATATTATCTTTTTTATCAAATAGTAATTTATAAGTATATTTAACTAAATGTATTAAAATTAATACTTTTTTGAAGAAATTTTTTTTTTTTTAATAAAAAAAATAACAAATATAATTTACATTATATATATAATAAAGCATGTAAATTTGTTGTTCTATAAAATATAATATAAAATGAAATTAATTATGTTATCATAAAAATAAATAGACCATACTATAACATGTATGTTATAACTTTAAAAATATTTAAAGTACATATTATTAAATACAGATAATATTTTATATTATTACAAATTCATTTATCTAACAATACTTTTTATATACATAAATTATGTAAAAACGTATAAGATAATTATATATAGTGTTTTATATTTTTATTTTTAAACATAATAAAATTAAGTAAACATTATTTAATTACGCAAATTATATACATTAACAAAATAAAAACTGATATAACGTATTTTTTTATTGTAAGATAAACTAAAATTTTGTAAAATCATTCTCAATATTTACAATTACATACTGTATAATGTAAATCTAAGTCTTTTTCTGTTAATTTAATGTCACTTACTACTAAAATTTTGTAACAGTGAAACCTAGCAAAAAACGTTATGCTAATAAGTTTATTTTTTTATTAGTTTTGTAAATAATTTTAAATAACAATGTAACATGCTGTATAAAAATAGTTTTATTTTATATTATCCTATGAATAATATAAGAATAGTATCAATATGTTAATAGGAATATAATTATAAAACATTATTTAACCTTGTAATTTTGATTATCGTATAAGTTCATACTTATTAAAATGGTTATATACACATGAGCTTCCTAATTTTAAATGTGTAATTAAATATGAAGAATGATAATGTTTTAAGGAAATTATGAAATTAAATGTTTAAATGTCCTTATAGAAATTAATATAAATTAT